TGGAACATTATGGCAACTGTTTTGCGGTCTCCATAAGTGAGAAGCTGGTAGGTGTATAGATTGTAAGTCTACATGTGTACTTTGGTATTTTTTAACCTGGTAGTTACTACACAGAGTCTACAGCTCTAACTAGAGTGACTTTGGCTTTCTGTACTGGCCTGGAAGCCTTCTTGGCACAGATGACACAGAATAATGGAAGCTGGGTGGCTGATCTTCAAGGATTCCGCCTGTCCAACCACATGCAGCATCTGTAATGGACTTCTTTCTTCCTGGCAGGATGTACCTTGTGCTAAAAACCACTTCCTACTGCAGGCTCACATGTGCTGCATTGGTTCATCAGGCTTTCTGCTCTCACCTGAACGGTGTATGGCTCCTTTTACCTCCCCGACTCCCAAACTCATCATCTGTCTCCTCTTAGTTTTTGCCTATGGTCTCTGCCTTTCCGCTCAAATGCATATTACCTGCTGGCATGTCCTTAATGCTTCTTCCTTCACTTCTTCCCTCCACTCTCCCTCCCATCTTCCTTCCGGCCCTTCTGCCTCTCTTCCTCTCCTCTATTCTTCTCTACCTCCTCTTTTCTTTCTTCCTTTCTCTCTTTCCCTTCTTTCTTCCCCTCCTCAAACATTTATTGAGCACCTAATCAGTAGGTTTTACAGATTGGGACAAGGTCAGGTCAGCTTTCAACCCCCACTTTGCTCTGGTCAACATTTTGTTGCTCCTCTTGGACAAGGTGAAGTTACTGATAATTCACAGAGTGACTATCTAATTCTTCCTTGAGGGGTGCTAGGTAGACCTGGCCCAGGGACTGAATGGGGTAGGGGTCTAGATATTAGAAAAAGAACTTTGAATGCAAGCAGACCTGGGTTTCAATCCTGCCTCCCCTAATTACCGGTGTATGACCTTGGCAAGTTATCTAAACTCTCTGAACCTCAGTTTCTTTTAGTATAAAATTTTGGTGAGAAAAATTCCAATCTCCTAGAATTGTTGGAAGGATTTACTGAGATAAAGTACAACAATCATCTGGCACATAGTAGGTGGTACACTTGATAACTCTTATTATGAATAGGGTGGCATAAAAATAGAAATATCTTGAGGGTGAGCCTAAAAGATCAGCAGAATTCTCTCAAGTCCAAGGGGAAAGTGGAGAATCAGGAACAAGAGATGATCCCCAAATCTGAGATGAGACAAATAATGAGCAGATTAAACTTCAGAAAGGATGGCAGGCTCCAGCCCTGATTCACCGACCACAGGTTGCCTGAGTTCCAGTGTGGTTATGATGGAGGTCTTTTAAGGGGAGAAGAACATAGTTGTTCTGGATTTCATTTATAGCAGTCCTTACCCCAAGAAGCCCCCACAGTCTGATTGACCTATGTTCTTCCAACCCCAAGATTGTTTTATTTTTCTCCATCAGTTGTTTTTATTTCAACCAGAATAAGTTTGAGTCTATGTCACTTTGACTAATATGACACTGGGGTTACTAGTCAGCAATTTCGTTTCTAAGGCTGAACTTCCACTTGGCTCACCAGTAGCGTTGATCTCAGCAGGTCTCAGGTTTCATGCTATAAAATTGTGATGGTTTTATTGACCAATTAACATAGGTTAATGATGATTGTTTTTATGAAAGTTGGTGGGTCACCCTCTGGACAGCGGGCTGAACAATGTCATCTCAGTCTTAATCATAGATCATAAAATGTTAGCTCTGGAAGGGTCTCAGAAGCCATGTAGTCCAACCCTCTCGGTTAACAGAGGAGAAAACTGAGGCCTGGAGAGGCTAAACCCTGGATTCAAATGGCCAACAGGATTGAGAGAGACATGGAAGCACCCAGAAGAATAGGCATTTCTCTTAAATAATTCCATCAAGAGGCTCTCATCTCTTTCCATAACCACAAAACTTAGCCCTTCCAAATGCTAGGTGCAAAGATGATGCTGTGATGGGATTTGTAGGGTCACCCTTTGAGGAAGTGGATATTTTAAAGGCTAGATGACCTCTAAAATTTTGATCAACTTTGACATTCACTGTAGGGCATTATGTGTATGAAATACAGGATACTATACTATAATAATTTACTTTTTTGTTTAAATTATTTCTCCTGGAAGGAAGCTCCTCAAAGAAAGAAACTGTGACACATCTTTGTTTCTCCTGTAGCCTTACATATACCATGTTCTTGATAAAAGATCCTCTGATTGAGTGAATGGCTGGAGATTTTTTGGAAGCCTGTGATGAAGAGTAGCCAGGTCATTGACACAGAGTGCAGGGTGAGTTTCAGAGCAGAGGAGACTCTCATGTGGTCAGCGACACTTAAGAAAGATCAGATGTATGTGGAGAGGGTGAAGGATTTGCGTTGACTAGAAATAACGAGAGACGCAGTCTAAGATTTTTTCTAGAAAAAAATAAAAAGAAACTTTCCAAATCCCATTTAGAAATTCTGTATAGACAAACTGTGACATGGTACCACCTTGAGGGGCAAAAATAGGTTTTACAGATTAGGACAAGGTCAGGCAAACAAATATCCCAAAGCCATGCCATCAGCTCGAAGCAACTCTGCCCCAGCCCACTGCTCTTCCTAGGCCTGGCTCACCCCTGCACATGGGACAAATCCTTAACCTGCTACAAAGAAACCAGCATGGGAATCCGAGGTCCACCATGTCTCAGAAAAAGGAAGAGAAATGTGAGAATACATTTCCATTTGGTTCACACTTCAGTAGACTGCATTTTTCCTGCCCCATATGCAAGGCGCAAAGGCCCTGGCCCTCCCAGCCATCACCATGTGTCTGCCATCTGGCGGTTGTGTTCTCACCTGGAAGCTCCAGTTGCACCTGGGCCAGAGGACCCTGGCTGCTGGCACTTCCCCTCTGCCTGGCAACCTCCTGCTCTGAAAGGGGGTAGTGGTGCTGAAAGATTTTTTAAAATTTTACTGGATCCTGCTCAAGGTTGGTAATCTGAGCCATCTTAATCATCCTAATGAGTTTGCAGCTGTTACTTCTCATTGGAAACATATATTCAGTGCTATCCATAAAGAGTTGGTTTCCACACAGGGTGCTTAGGAGACAGGGGCTTTATCCCCAGGGTGACAATAGGGAATTAAATCTGTTCCCAGGGCCCCTTGTTGGCACTGCAAGAGCACGGAGAAGAGCCCCCACATTTATAGGGGATTGCTTCCACCTGCGGGCATTTCCTTAATGCTCCTCCCGTCACTTCTTCCTTCCATTCTCCCTCCCATCTTCCTTCCAGTCCTTCTTCCTCTCTACATCTTCTCTGTTCTCCTCTATCTCCTCTTTTCTTTCTTCCTTTCTCTCTTTCCCTTCCTTCTTTCTTCTCCTCCTCAAACATTTATTGAGCACCTACTTAGTATGAGGCATGACATTAGGGGGATGTTGTGGAGGGAAGGGATACAAAAGTTGATAGAATCTGGCCTCTTTTCAGGAGCAATTTGCCAAATTGAGTCATAAAGAGAGAAAGCAAAGTTGTGCACAAATGTAACTGTCCCAAACTCCCACAGAGAATCCACTAAGTGTCACAAAGTGAATCCGGGGAAACTGGGGTGTTGCCTTAGAAGCTCAAATGCATTTGGGGGATCAGAGAAGCTGTCCTGCCAGGCATAGCATTTGAATTGGTCCTCAAGGATGGGTGCATCCCTGGATTCTCCACATTCAGAAATGGATTTTTCCTTCTCTAATGTCCACAGCACTTCATCTCCTCCTCCGATGACATCTGTGTGGCTCTGGCAGCTCTCTGGGTGCCTTTCCTCTCCTCCCGAAGGCAGCCCTGGCTGCCCTCTCCTGCTATGGCTTCTGGGCCTTGATACCCTCAGACTCACACAGAACTGAGATCCCTACCTCTAGGGGTTTCTTTTTTTTTGAGGCGGAGTCTGGCTCTGTCGCCCAGGCTGGAGTGCAGTGGTGCGACCTCGGCTCACTGCAAGCTCCGCCTCCTGGGTTCCCGCCATTCTCTTGCCTCAGCCTCCCAAGTAGCTGGGACTACAGGCGCCGCCACCACGCCCCGGCTAATTTTTTTTTTTTTTTTTTGTATTTTTAGTAGAGACGGGGTTTCATTGTGTTAGTCAGGATGGTCTCGATCTCCTGACCTCGTGATCCGCCCGTCTCGGCCTCCCAAAGTGCTGGGATTACAGGCTTGAGCCACCGCGCCCGGCCTCTAGGGGTTTCAAATGCAATGCAATATGACCGACATAGACTTTTATATTCAGGAAACACAGACAAGATAGTATACATTTTGAAAATGGACTTTAAAATGTCAGCCATATATATTATATCAACAGAGAGAGAGGGGTGCAGTTTTTAAAAGGAGATAAAAATACCTCATGCGTATAGTTTCCAAAGAGGAATGGTGCCCTTTGGGAGGATTTGGGAAGTAGCCTTGAATCAGTCAGCCAGTCTGGGAGAGCTTCATGGAGGAAGGTGGGCTTCAGAGACTGACAAGACAGCTTGAGCTGCAAGGTTAGGATGGGAGTTTAACCGGGCATGCGGCACCCACTAGACTAGGGTACTCTGAGGACAAAGATTGTGCCTCAGACTCTCCTGTTGCCCCAATAGACAGTCTGAGGACTGGCACATGCATAAACAAGCTCTGAAGGAATCATATGGGAGAAAGCTTACTGGTAGGGCAAGACAGTCAGGGAAGTAGAGAGTGACAATAATCGGAAGGGGCTGGAAAGATGGGCTGGGACAGAGCATAGGCAGAGGGAGGCCAGGCCACGAAGTCACCCTTGCAAAGGGCTTTGAGAAAGGGCATTCACAAAGGCAGCCAGTCTCAGGCTTTAAGGAATTCGATGCCCTGTCGGGACTTTGGGTGGGGAAAATCCAAATGATTGGCCTCATGCACCTAGAAGATGCTCTGCCCATGTAGCACCCCTGTGACTTTGGGCAGGTCCCCTCCCCTCATCTGCATTCCCTCCTCCTCTTGTGGTCTGGCTCCCTGGGAACCCATGGTGGTGATAAGGTCAGAACAGAGTGCGGTGGGTGACTTGGGGGCAGGAAAAGGAGGCTGTGGTCATCAATGAAGGAGGAGAAAACAAGGATATGCACCAAGGAACTGACAATGGGACCATGGAGAGAGAGGTAACAAGCTATGAAGTCTGACAACTGATTCATTTTTCAAGAGTAGAGACTAAAATAAGAGGAGATAACAATAGTAGCCATTTATTGGGTATTTAATGTGTCCCTAGTGCCACATATACATTATCTACCTGATAAGACAGGAACGCTACATATACATTATCTACCTGATAAGACAGGTATCATTATCATCCCACTTTATAGATGGGGAAACTGAGGCTTAGAGAAATAAAATGATTGTTCAAAGTTAACACTGTTAGTAAGTGGAAGAGCTAAAATTTGGAGACTTGATTTTTTACTCTTGCTAGAGCTCTTGGCCATTGCTTTATTCTGTCTCCCGTAAGCAGATTCACTCGTGAAGCTTTATTTGGATTTTAAATGGTGACATATCATGGTTCTTCATGAAGCGAAGATGGACAGGCACCTGCAGTGCTCAGGGTACATTGTGCCAGGAAAGCAAGAACCTTGGGAAGGAGAGCTGGGGATCTGCCATCAGAAGAAAGTGAAGAATAGGAGGCTTTCTCATTTGTAAAGCACTTTCACAGCTTTTGCCTTAATCCATTCTCATGACAGCCTTGGAAGTGAGGCATGAATTTTTTTTAAAAATCCCCATTTTCCAGTTGAGAAACCTGAGACCTGGAGAGGTGAAAAGAATTGCCCAGAGTCATCTAACTGGTACATGGCAGGAGAGCGGAACCTGGTTCTCTTTTCCCTGGGCTCTGCTGTTTGTCAGGGTTGAACATGAGGTCCCCAGAGGAAGCCCACGTTGCTGGAGGGTTAGAGGGGAGGGGGGCAGAGAAGGTAGGGCTGGGGTCCTGAGAGCTGAGGTGAGAGAAGTTCTGAGGCACATGACCTCATCTTCAAAGTCCCAAGTAGAGCAGCGGGCTGGGGCTGAGGGTCTGAGAGAGGCATAGCTTGAAGTCCAGAGCTAGAGGACAATGCCAATGGCAAGGAGCCCAGAAATGAATGGGCCACCTCAAACGGAGTGCTCTGTGGGGTGCCCGCTCCAGAATCTAGGAGGTAAGGAGAAGGTCCAGCAGGAATCACGGGTTTCAGTCTCTGCCATTCCTGACTCCCTGGTGCCTCAGGCATTGACGGGCAGGATGCCTGGAGGCCACGGGCTGCAGTGGAAGGAACGCATGCTTTGGAGACAGATTGCTCTGGATTCAGCCCCTGGTTTGATCACTTCCTGCCTGTGATTTTGTGTCTCAGTTGCCCTTTCCATAAAATGGAATAACAGCTTTTTTTAATCATAAGATGTGAATAAGTGAATGCATATTCACAATATCAAATGACTCATTCATTTCATGAACTCAACATGTGCCAGCACTGTCCTAGGATAGTTCTGTGGGCCATGCAGACAAGGTCCCTGTCCTCTGGCAGTTTACTTTGGTGCCCAGCACAACATAGGCCCCTACAAGCACCATTTCATTCCTCCCATCTGTAAAGTTACCCGATTTCTTTCCTGCGGTGCGTGGCTCCATGCCAGTAATCAGGAAGGAGAAAGGGGTGAATCAGAGAAGAAGAACCTAAACTTTGTTCTGAGCCCACAGTTCCTGAGCTAAGCAGGAGCCAGAGGTCAGCAAGGTGAAGCTGGGGGCCGGGGACCAAAGTGGAGGGTTGGCACGTCATATTCCTCCTTATCTGACTGCCCTTGCACCAGAGCCCAGAGAGTTTGACAATGATGATCTCACTAGTGTTCAAAGCTTCCAGAGGGAGGCCAACAGCAAAGCAGAAAGCATTGGAGTGTGCTTGTGTTGACAGCTGCCGGATCAGAGGGCCTGGCTTGGGATCACAGGCTGCGGGGGTGGTGAAGCAGTGTGCAGATTCTGAAGCCTGGCAGCCCCACCCGGGGCCCCAGGAGCCAGGTTCACCCACACAGAAACTCAAGGGAGGCTGCGTTTCCTAATCAACAGCCTGCACCGTGTTATCGTGTGGTAGATGCTTTTCCTGTGGGTCATCTCTTTCAATTCTCCCAAGCCTGCAAAGAGAGATTATTGTTCCCATTTTCTAGATCAGAAAACTGAGGCTCAGAAGAATGAAGTAGCCTGCTTAAGGGCGCATGTTTTCATCATAATAGGTGATATGCAGGTTCCCCTCCCTGTCTCCATCACACACACACACACATACACATACACACACACACACACACACACACACACACTGCAATGACTGTCTCTCTAGGCTGGCTAACAGTGTACCAAGATGACCCCATCCTTACCTGCATCCTGCATCAGTCCACCGGGAGCAGGCAGCAGGGATAAAGGTGGGGAGGAGTGGGTCAAGGAGTCAGACTACAGGCACCCCTTTGGCTCAGGGCATAGAGGGGGTTCAGGACATATGGAGCACCTCCTCGCCCACGTTCGTTTTCCGGGTCTGCCTCTCTACCAGACCTCTCTCCTTCCTCCTTTTTGGCATCCTCTTTGGATTCATTTTCTCCTCTCCTTTTATTTCCCCTTCTCTGCTTCCTGATTCACCCCTTGCTATCTTTTCCAGTCTTTGCCGTTCCTCTCTTCAGTCTCTCCCTCTCCCTTTGCTTCCTCTCCCTGGACTCCCCTGGCTCCTTCTCCCTTTCTCATCCTCCCTCGTGTTTTCCTCTCTTTGTTTCTTTGATCTCCTTCCCTCCTTTTCCGTTTGTCTCTCCCTAGCCTGCGCCCCTCCCCGCCGCTCGCACCCTCCCGCGCGCTGCTCCATCTGCGCCGCCAACCCTCCCTCCGCCCCCTCGGCCCCGCCCTCCCTTCGCCAGCCTCCCCCCTTCCCTTCTCCGCTCTCGCTCTCCGTGATTTATTACTTGCCCTGCTGCTTCTGACAAACTATTTGTAGGAAAATGAGATTTGGTCCGCGCTGGATGGCTCCTCTGGGAGGCAGGCGTGGGGGTCGGGTGTCGGAGGCCCCGTGCGCCCCCCACCCCCAACCAGAGCCCACGGCGCTTACGGAGCTCTTTAAGATAAATGAGCAAAATTAAGAGACTCACTGGGGGAAGAAAACACTGGATGGGAGCGAGCGAGAGAGGATGGTACTTGGTTTCCTCCCAGAAATGTATCCACGTGCGCCCCACTGGGGCCTCCCCCATCTGCTGCAGACTCCAGGGAACTTCCTCCCCTCAAAGACGAACTTCCAGCCCTGGAGCATGTTTCTTCCTTCCCTGGGATGTGGCGCTGAAAAGGGCAGAAAACTCTAGTAAGGCACAAGCAACAGATTGAGGGTGGAGCAGCAGGTCTCTTTGGAAGTGGCCTGGAAGAAACCGGACAGAGAGGATGGGAAGGGGAGAAACAGAAGAGTGTGACGAGGTGGGTGTCCGAGGGCAGTGGGACAGGCTGTCCGGGTGGGAGAGTGGACTTGAGGAAGTAGCTGCAGGCCCAGACTACTTCAGCCACACCCTGATCCCCTGGGACCTCAGTAGCTTTCTGCGGGGGTCCCAGGCACCCTCAGGGCACAGGAGGCAGTGCTGGCTCCAACCTCAGTCCAAGGAGCTGTGTAAGCCTCAGAGGTCCTTGGCAGAAGTGAGCCCTCGTTTCTCACCTCAAAGGCAGGGATTTAAGTTTTCTCTTGTCTGAGTGGCAGAACTATAAGTTGTCAGAGGGCAGGTAGTGGGTCTTTGGTTTTTCTGCAATACCACAGGGCTAGCTTACCTTAGGCCAGAAGTATTATTTGTTGAGATGCATGAATACAAGAATGTCTTATAAGCTCTAGGCTCAATTTTCAACTCCCACAGATGTGCAATGAAAACAATTTTCCAGACTACTTTTTTTCCCTCTTATTTTGAAAGCAATACACCTATTTTTTCCATCGAACATTAAGACAACAGAGATACGCAACACAGAAGAAAAAAAATCACCTGTTATTCTACTATAAACAGTCTGGAATTTATCCTCAATCTCAAAATACGTATGTGTTAAAAAAAAGGTCATATTGTAAACATTGTTTTGACCTGCTTTATTTCATTCAGTGTTAAATTGTAAATACCTTTTTATATCATATTAAATATTTCTTCTATAACAAAATTCTAAGTGGTTACAGTGTTTTATTATACGTTTGTATGCTCTATGGATGGTTATTTTTTAACAAGGCACTTATTTGTTCATTTTGATTGTTTCTAAATTTTTGATATTATCAAGATTTCCTCTTTTGCATTATTCAGATCAATCTTTTTTTTTTTTTTTTTTTTTTTGAGAGGGAGTCTCGCTCTGTCGCCCAGGCTGGGGTGCAGTGGCCGGATCTCAGCTCACTGCAAGCTCCGCCTCCCGGGTTCACGCCATTCTCCTGCCTCAGCCTCCCGAGTAGCTGGGACTACAGGCGCCCGCTTTTAAGACGGAGTCTTGCAGTGTTGCCCAGGCTGGAGTGCAGTGGCACGATCTCTGCCCACTGCAAGGTCCGCCTCCCAGGTTCACGCCATTCTCCTGCCTCAACCTCCCCAGTAGCTGGGACTACAGGCACCCGCCACCAGGCCCGGCTAAGTTTTTGTATTTTTAGTGGAGACGGGGTTTCACTGTGTTAGCCAGGATGGTCTCGATCTCCTGACCTCATGATTCGCCTGCCTCGGCCTCCCAAAGTGCTGGGATTACAGGTATGAGCCACTGTGCCCAGCCCAGATCATCCCATTTTTAGCACAGTCAGTGTCTTAGTCTGTTTTGTGTTGCTATAACGGAATACTATAGCCTAAGTAATTTATAAAGAAAAGGTTTTTTTGTTCTTACTGTTCTGGAGGCTGGGAAATCCAAGGTTGGGGGGCTGCATCTGGTGAGGACCTTCTTGCTGCATCATTCTATGAGGGAAGGAGAAAGGGGAAGAGAGCAGAAAGGAGTAAGAGAGAAAGTGGGGCAGACTCATCCCTTTTATCAGAAACCTGCTCCCTCAATAACTAACTCCCATGATAACACTATTAATCCATTAATGAGGACAGACACCAATAACCCTTAGGACAGAGCCCAATAACCCTTAAATATCCATTCTCTTGACACTGTTACATTGGAAATTAAGTTACCAACACTTGAACTCTGGGGGACACATTCAGACCATAGCAGTTAGTTATAAAAGCGTGATTTATGATTTTTCCTGGTTTCATAAGCATAAGATGTGACATATTTTAATAGTTGACAATTCTACAGGGCCTGGTCTGACTTCCTAGCCTGGATCAGCCTTTCTAAAATGTTGTAGATTTTCAAAGACCACCAGTGCTGCAAGCCAGGGCAATCTGGAATGTTCTGGAAGCAAAGGAAGTAGATATGGCTTTAGCCATAAGAATCAAAAAAGATATGGTACTTAAAGAAAAGGATTATTCAGTTCAAATCTTCCTAAAACATTCACAAAACAAATGTGTGTCAAGTTATAATAATGGGTGACGGTACCACTGATTGGTGTTAAGTAAGTTATGTGAGGATACCAATTTCAAAGTATATTAAAATGTAAAACTTGAAAATGGTGGAGTCATCCTAGGTATTATTTCATAAAATACAAGTAGAGAAGAAAAAGAGGATTTGAGCTATAAAGATATGAGAGAAAAACATTCAAAATTATGTGACGTCACATAGGTAACCCTTTCAAGTGACTGGGCACTTTTCAAGTGGAAGCTTTCCTCCCTGCCTTGAAAACAAGGATGTGTGACTGGTGTCCATTTGTCTGTCTGTCTATCAGTCTGGAGTGTGTGGTCTCAGGAAGGCTGGAAGATGATGCAAAACCCTTTGATCATTTGTTCTTTGCATTTGTGCTGCCATTCAGCACTTGCATACACTGTACTGAGACTTCTATTGACACAACTCCTCCAATCAATGTATTTCTTGGAGGACACCTTACTCTCTTGTTCTGAACTTCAGTATCCTGGGTCTCTGAGTGGCTCTGTAGGGCAGTAACGGTGGGAGGGTAGAGTTCACAAACTATGTTCAATATTTGGAAAGGACTGATTACCTACAGTAAAGTGACTTCGGCTAGTAAAATGTCAGGTTTCTTTGCTTTGGGTTGATTTATAACAACTCAATTTGGGAATACATACTATCTGGAATGGATTGCTCTGATTGGCATTTCTCTAGGTCCTTGATTTATAAATGAGAGAGAGAACTGATTGTTCAATAAATACAGTCTATTTTTCCTAATTATGTAGGAAATCATATATTTGTAATAAAAGGAGTGTTTGATGGAACGAGCTCAGGAAGAAGAGTGTAATGTTCAACTATAGTTCTCTCTACTCCCCAGATGCCATTGGGGTAAATGTTACCCAAAGAAGAGAAGATTCTGTTGACCGTGAAGTTGAAGTATGGTGGGGATTTTCTAGAAAAATCCATTCAAGTCTTTTTCTCTCCCAGATCATGAAGAAAAGAGGGAGCATCTATTGATTTGTAAGGTGGAGCCAAAGGCATCTATTGATGACTGAAGAAGAGGCATGAATATGACAAAAACAGGAACCTAGGCCAAAAAAGATGATTCATAGATGATTCAACCTGGAGGCCCCCACCTTATTTTATTAGTAAAAAAAGATGTGGTGGAGATTAAAATGATCCTTTTAATACAGTCCAAGATTTACTCTGCAAAATCCAGTCATATTTTTGACAGTAAATTCATAGCTCCTCTGTCCCCAGTAACAGAACGATGATCTTTATGGGGCCGGCGTGAGGAAGCTGGCGGGCACGGCCCCCGCCACATTAAACTGTCTCAGTGAAGAGGCAATTTGTTTGATATTAAGAGTTATAAAAATATCAGCACAGAGCGGTTATGCCAGGGATATTGCACAAGCCAATCTGAATTTTAATGTAGTGTGAGCAATAAGCACCGCATTCCCTGAGCTCCTGCCACACTCCCTCTGCAAATATTTGAAGAGAAAAAGACAGAGGTTTTGAGTGTCTTACTCTTTTCCACTTGTGCTACATGCGGGCTTGCTCCTCACCAGATGTGTGGGAGCTGGCAGGGGTTTCCAGGTGCCTGGAAGGGGGGTTCTCAGGAAGCCCCACACAGGAGATCCAATGGCGTCCCTGGCATCGTGTGCAGAGAAAATGGGGTCGGCTTGCTAGCACCTCTGTTCATGCCCCTCAGTCACACAAGCAGTCATCCAGCAGCCAGGACTCAGCTCCTGCACCCAGTTTCTTCTGATTTTCATCCCAAGTATTATTTAGTGTCTTAGTCCAATGAATGCCATTCACCAAGCATTCCACTCCCCTCCCCATCCTCTAAGTCCACCATAAAATGCCCTTCTTATCTTCTTACTGTGCCCCCATTACACCCTGTCTCTTTAGCCCATAGGTGTACACCGTGACCTCTCCCCTCAGGCCCCTTCCGTCAGTTTTCTCATTATTTCCCTTTACCGCCATTCCTCTCCCTTCACCTCCCAGTCACCTCTTCCCAGCCTCTTCTCCCATAAATATCCATTTAACCTTACAGATAGATCTTTCTGAAACATGCTAACCAATTAATTTCACTTCCACAGGGTGCCTACTCTGTGTCAGGCATTGGGCTAATGGCTGAAGGAGACATAAACATGAACAAGACCTGGTGGTCTCTGCTCTTCAGGGACTCACAGTCCAGTTGAGGAGGGGTGTGGGGGTGCCAGAAGTGGTGGGGTTGCCAGACAAGGATTCTGGTCATTTTTACTCTGAG